GGATGACGAATTGACGTAGATGTTGGAAGTCCTACCTACCTAAGCCGCCAGAAAAAAAGGCTGAATAGTATAGCCAACCCGTAAACTAGTAGGTGTAGAAAAGTAGTGAAGGCGGCGATAAAAATAGTGCTGACGTAAAAGTGGCGTAAAGTTGCTGGCCAGGAGAGAAAGCTGCATTGCTGATACTGAAAGGCTGCCGGTATGCAAGTGCTCCTCCCAACCCCCCAAAAAAACTAGAACGCGCGACTGACCCGACCGACCCAACTAAACTATTCCGGCTAGCCTACCGACGTTGGGGAGGTGGGGGGGATGTAGGCCCCGCCCTAGGCTGCATGACTGAGCTGTACGACCGGCCCCTACGGCCCCTCCCGGCCCCCTTCCGCCCGGCCAGCCCCCCCTGAGCCCTCTCATACTCCTTCCGCCGCCGTTAGTAAAGTGAGGAAGGGGCCGGGTAGGGTTGGGTTGGGTAGTAGCTGGAGAAGGGCCCCCTTTTGGGGGGGCGGTGCTGCGCGCTCAGTTCCATACACGATGTGTGTGTGTATGTGTGTGTGCGTGTGTAATTTCCCCCGTCTGTCTCTCTCCCTATACAGCGGGGGGGAAAGGGGAGAGAGAGAGAGAGGCTTTCCAGGTTGCCCGTCCCTTCCTTCAACACCCGAAAGGAGGGCTAGAGAGCTGCAGGGGGGAGGGTAGGCCCAGGGCAGGCTGGGGAGGACCAGAAGGCTGGGGAAGGGGGGGAAAGAGGGAGGACGTACCGGGAAGAGCGGAGGCGGTCCGGCGGGTGCGGTGGGGAGCACGGTGCCGTCCTCATCTCGCGCGACAGGGCCTGTGGGTGCTCCGCGACCGCCGAAGCCGCCTCGGCCGCCGCCCCGACCGAAGCCGCCCCGGCCGCCGCCTCGGCCGCTCATGTGTCGTTCGAGACTATAATTTGTAAGATGTTAAGGACGAAACATGCGTGGTTGAAGGTGAAAGTAGGCAGGGTGGAACCACCCTGGTTGGAAGCGAACTTCAGGGTTTGACCAGCTATAAAAAATTACATATTATGAATCTGATGTGTAATCAAAGTATTGCATATTCACTTCGTACTTTAAACGAAAATTTGCGTGCAAGTAATAACAGTTAAATGGTACTCTAAAAGTTATTCGCGACGTGAAAAATTCATTAGATGTTTAAGGATGCCATGTCGCTTAGCCACCAATCCGGTATAAAGCTGTGCTGAGAATTGAGAATTTCACAACGGTCTCGGAGCCCCGCCGACCGAATGATCGTAAAACAGGATAACATCGGAAAGACCAATTGCTGCCATAATTTTTGTGGGTACATACGCAATGGCTCTAGCTTTCAAAACTGGTCGATCAGTCGTTCGGCCTAACCGCCCCACGACCGGAGCACACCCTGTCAGGGTGGCCGTTTGCCGGGCTACTCCACGAGAGGGTGATCTGAACGGAGCAAAATATGTTGGTGCATCCATCGCTGCTTTTTTTACCGGAGCTTCGCTACTCCTTGATACAGGTACGAACACTTTTCGGCCTGTATTTGCATTATTGAGCCGATGTTTCTACAGCAGACAAATGCTCGAACGTGTTTGCCTCCTATATTTTGACGATAATTACACACACGCACATATAGCTGGAATTTACTGGCACCGACCTTGCGAGAAAACCGTGCACACAATCATACAGTCTTACCACGCGAACGGCGATGTTCTACCCCTTAAAGGACAACAGGGGACATGCTAATTAACCACGCAAGCTGGATGAAGTCGCTACTCAGGTGCTTGAGGAGCTGCTTCAGCTGCGTCTAGGTAGCAGCCGCAGAAGGCGGTGCGCTTTAGGACTAAAGCCGCTGCTGCGGTCCGCTAAGTGAGGCACGAATGCATGTCAGGCAACTGCCGAAAGCAACCAATTTCGGAAACCCGCAGAGGCGGCCCGTCGAAGCGAAGGCGGTACGTGTTCGCGAAGGTAGCAGCTGGTAAAGGCGGTGCATGAAGGATGTAAGCAACGGCAGTGGTTTACTGAGAACAGTTAGACAAGAGGTAGCTCCCCTCCTCGTCGAACTGAAGGCGAGGGAGGAGAACGGAGAGAAGTGATGAATCCGACTAAGACTGGTTGCGGAAAGTTGGAAAGATCAGCGACAGGGTCCCCTGCTCGGTGGCAGCGGGAGACAGCGTGCGGCTTGAGCGTGCCGCCTCGTTCACGAAGTAGAGGTATATTCCGAAAGCAAGCCCTAGGACGAGCGTCAGGAGCCGCCAGGCGGAAAATAAGAAGCCTACAGTTAAGCAGGCAGCGGGCGGCGATAAGAATACCACTGAGACCTCTCCTTGACAGGCAAAGGCATTACTATACCAGGCCGAAAAGAAGATTCGGCATTTCCATTCGTGTGAGCCCATGGGGTTGCTGAGGCAGACGAAGCCACATATGCCGCATACCGCTCTCGTGCATGTACTCTTACGTGTCTCGGCCATAGCCGATTATGACGGGCACGGAAAACCGAGTAATCACTTCTGTGTTCGCGTATAAACATGGGCCAGGAATGCACTAGTCGTGGCCTCATGGCACTTGCAGCGGCTGCATTTTGGTGCACCCCCGTCGGAGACCGCACCTTGCCCCCGCCCTCTCGCCCTCTCGCCGCCACCCTCACCCGCACCCGCTCCAACCACGCTCGCGCCAACTAGCTAAAAGAGGAACCTAGTGAGAAAGGGAAGAGAGTGCATCACTTTTCTTGTCTTGGCCACATATAAAATGATGCACCGCCAAGCAACCTTTCTCCCACATTTCCCGCTCCAATGTCGACTTTTACATAGCGGCGGTATCTCCATCACCCTCCCAACATCGCCATTATTGCCGTTCAGGTATGGCTCATGCGGGCGGTCGTGGCCAAGTTGCCGAGTTCGCGGCCAGCGGGCTGCTGTTCAAGGACACCGTGGAGGTGACGGCGCTAGAGGACCCGGAAAGTGCGTGGCTGCGGTGTGCGGCCCCACAGCTGGCTGGCTGGCTGGCTGGCTAGCTGGCTGGGAGGGTGTCGTATGGTTTGGGAGTGTTCCCAACTGTTTTCTGTCTGTCTGTCTGTCTGTCTGTCCATCCCTCTGTCCGCCTTTGGCATTTTGTGAGAACCCTTTCACGCCCTCCTCAGTGCTCTCAGATCTCAGTTCTAACCTCTCCACCCTCACCACCCATCTTTGCGACGCATTGATTGATCCGTCAGCTCCTCTTCCCCCCCGCCTCCTGAGTGCCCCCTGTGCCACGTCTCCTGCACACCGGCCCCCACCTCCCGGATTTCTCGGAATCCCTTGGATCTTCTGGATCTTCCGGATTCCTCGGAATCTTCTGGATCTCGCGGATCTCCAGTCCAAGGCGTCACCATATACTTCTCCGACTTCAAGCGCAACATCGTTGACAAGCTGGCCAAGGACTTCTTCTCGGATCCATCCCGTAAGCCTATACCTACATGTACAGCCCACCATATCGACCTGAGGCATGCCGTAGTTGTACGACAGCTAGCGTGCACAGTGAAAGAGTACGACGGGAGAAGATTAAAAGAAGCTATTAATAGCCGCCACTGCAGCTGCTGTAATGATAAGGTGGATGTGAATGTGAATGCCAATTTATCGTCATGAGCGCGTAGCAGCACCTGTTTTTGTATCCTAGATGCGGACTACGACTACAATTATGACTACTACTCGCACGTTGTAGGAGTAGTACATGCACATGGCAAGTCAGCGACCAACAGAATGCATACAGGCATGTTTCCACATTTGCTAGTTAGCATGTCCTAATTAAGAGCTTCCTTTTGGCATCTTAAAAATAAAAAGTAAAAATATCTTCCTCACGTCCGACGACGTTTTTCCATTGTACTCTTTTCTTAACCGTTGTTGTTGTTGTTGTTGTTGTTGTGCGTACGGTGCCATCTTATTGCAATTGGCGCAACCATGTGGTGTACGACATATGGTGTACGGTGTACGGCGGCTTTGCGGCGCAGAGGCGTCCCTCACATGCGTGGTGACGGGCCCCGTCACTATCAAGGATGTGAAGCGGATCAGCTCCGGGGAGGGTGAGGAGGTCTTCAGCGAGCAGAAAGGCCTCAACATCTTCAAAAACAAGGTACGCGGCTGCAGGTGACAGACGTTGCCGTTGCTGTTGTTACTGGTGTTTATGGTGGCGCTGTTGCTGCTGATAATGATGATGACGATATATTATAATAATAATATTATTATTAATATAATGATGGTGATGATAATAGTGATTATTATGGTGAGGAAGAGGAGGTGGAGGTAGTGGAGGAGGAGGAGGGGGAGCAGAAGATTGAAGTGCTGATGATGCCCATGATGAGAGCGAAGTTTGGATGGCCCCGAAGGTAATGTCCCTTCCCCAGTTTAAATGGTGGATCTGGGGGGGCGCGCCTCCACGGCCATTGGAGATGGTGTGGCAGGTGAACTTGGTACCAGTGTATAGAAGTGTGGAGGGAATGTGGGGGTGAGGCACCGTCCTCCACCGACCTCCCTTGGTGCTAATCAAGTCGATAGGTCGCCGCTACTGCCACGACATGTACTTATTCCACTACTGCCGCTACTGCCGTTACAACCTATTGTTGGATAGCGATTCGTATGATCATATGTCCTTAAAACCACTTCGCTTACACCCAAAGTGTGAAAAAGTAATAATACCGACCTATTATGTGGGGGAGCTAACTGGGTTACCCCCCTCGTGCCATATAAGAACTGCGGCGGCTCGGTCCCCCGGGTCCTCCCCCTCTGCTGCCGTACACTTTGCTTAACCCCCCACAGACGCTGCGCGTACGGCGTGTGTACGACGTGGAGCGGCGTACGGTAATCTATGTGGCGTACAGTACTCGGCTCTCCACTGCCACGGTATGTATGTTGTTACAGGGTGGTTAACTTCGCCAGCGGCCCCCTTTCCCGGGGCAGTCCCTGCTCTCCCCTGCTAGAGGGGCACCCTAATCCGTCACCCCATCCGACTTCAGAATGTATTCGTTGGGTTCGGCAACTCACCACCAGCATCCAACCAAATCTAGCGGATCAACGGCGCATCAACTTAGTTCCTGGTCAGCTCGCAAGTTGATATTATCACGTCCTACACCGTCCATATGATGGGGGGCCACCTCCCATTTCATCACTCCTCAAACACCCGAGGAGCCGGCAGGCGGATTTGAACCCGGGTCGACTGGGTCGACTGGGAGCAGAAGTCAGGCCTTAACCTCTGCCAGCCGCCTGCCTGTATGTCGTACCGCCCTCTTCCGTCTGCAGCACATAGGGGAGGGGGGAAAGGATACAGCGTTACAGGGTTAACTTGGAACTTGTCGTACTGTACGAGGGGTTATCCAGACTTTATTTGTTTACATGCCTCCTCTCGCGGCCTGAGGTGCCTGAGGATAACAGGATAACAGTTGCGAGTTCTGCACACTTGCTGTAGTGTCCAAATTACTGTCATACCCCACCTGATTTTGAAGTGGTCATCAAACCCCACTACAGCATTTCGTCTGTGGGTCACACAGTCACCACCTTGTAGGTGGGATGATGACGGCGACCTATCTGGGCTGATACACGCTTGGCTCAACCCTTTATTTGTCATTCGTCTCCCTCTCCATCCCTTCCTCCCTTACCCCCCGCGCCCCCACACCCTCCGTTGCTGCCGGCCCCGTCGTGTGTCCAAAACCCATGCCCCAAATAACTCGCTGTACGACACATGCCGTACTGTACGACCAGGACGAGGGCGGTGTGTCTACGGGGCGTTACAGGTATGGCTTGGGGGTGCGGCTGAGATGTGGTGTCCTTCAATGCTGGTGATGCTGCACCAGCAGGGTTTCGATACTTTTGTGGTCTTGGATTTTCGGATGACGGGAGAGATGGATTTTTGCGATTGAATCTTCCTTTCTCATCACGTATGAGTCTGTTTGAGTGTATTCCAATTCCCAGCAGTCCCAATTGTGTTTGCACGCTGCTTTCCTGGTAACATACCTTACGTAAAGTTGGCCGGCACAGCCGATCACGGACGCGTGCCATGATGAATAAATTCGTTTCAAAAATGCTCTGACCATGTGCGTTTCAAAAAACTTGCCCGCCGATTCCGCTAACTTACGTGCCGTACATGTGCCGTACATGTGTCGTGTATGCCGTACAGGACGTCCATGTGCGCCGTGGCGCTGCCGCCGCCTGCAGCCGCGCCGCCACTGGTGCCCGTCGCTTCCCCTTCTACCGACGCCTCCGCCGCCATTGCCAACCCCGTCGCCGCTGCGCTCCCAGACTCTCCTTAATCCTCCTTCGCCCTTCCTCCCCTTGACGATAAACCCTCTGAGCGGGCAGATGCGGGGAACTGGTGAAGACAGGTCGGAGGCCTACCAAGGCTTTAAACCCCTTGGGTTCTGAACACCGGCTGGCTCGTACACCCATCCATCCATCCATCCTTGCACTTCCATGTTATGCATGTAGGATATCCTACATGACGTGAATGAAGTCATGTAGAGACATTTTTGCACATCTGGACGAGTTTGGTGATGGTGGTGATGACACTGGGTGCAGCAACAGCTGCTTCACTATTGCACATCCATCGGTGTGTTGATCTGTGTGTTGCACCACCTGCTGCTGGGGTTGGAGTTGCTGGAGTTCGAGTTGCGTCACTCGCTTCAGGTGTAACAACGACGGCCCATGCGAGCAAGGCTCAGGCTGTCATAGATAGGTAGATAGATATAGATAGATAGATGGATAGATAGATAGATTACATACGAAACGGCTTTATCACTCAGTTCACGAAGACACACCCGCAATTGCAGATCGGGTTCCGGAGCATGTGACCGATTTGGTCCCCCCAGAAATACTCTCGAATGTATGATGTTGTTACAGGGTGGTATAGCTTCACCAGCGGCCCCCTTTCCCTTGGAGGCAGTTCCCTGCTCTCCCCTGCGAGAGGGGCACCCTGATCCATTCACCCCATCCGACTTCAGAATGTATTCGTTGCGTTCAGCAACTCACCACCAGCATCCAACCAAATCTAGCGGATCAACGGCGCCTCAATGTATGTATGTGCGTATGTATCGGTGGTCGTTGGAGAACTTTAGGGATTAACACCCAACCGCTGTGTACCCGCTACCACCCACCATCATCGCACATCAGGCTTGCGGCCGGTGTAATGTCATGACTCTAATTACAGAAACAAACAAGCTAACAAGCAACAGTAACATTCTCCAAAGTGTGGCCTCAAGCCCCGCAACCAGCGTGTCTTGGATTCGCGCCAGGTTGTAATGTAATGTAATGTAATGTGCAGCAGCAGCCTACTCGTGCAGCAGCAGCCGACCGAGGCGGATGTGTGTGTGTGTAGTGGGGGGGGAGGGCTGTGTCGGCCATATTGAAGAGCGTGCCGGCGGATGGGTGGTGATGCAGCCGCTGTGGGGCACGCACATTGGAGGCCGGCGGCGCGGCCGCCGCCGCCGCCGCCGCCATCGCATGCATGTCACCACCATCCTGCTGGTGCCCCCCGCTACCACTGCGGGGCCCCCCGAGTGCAGGTCAAGAAAGCCCCATCTGGCACCCAACAAATTCCAAGGCCTCGAAAGCCCATGCTACCTCTCCTCCCTCACCACCTCCTCGCCTCCCGCCAGCCCCCCGGGGAACCTCCCGCCCTCACAACCCCCCTCAACAGCGGCCGCCCCTCCCCCCACAATGAAACGGATATCTGGGCTAAGCTGCGCTGTGCTGCGGTTTTGCCAATCAGGACGTCAATCTCTCTCCGTCTGTCGCCGTCTCCTTTCCACTCGAGCTCCGCCTTCTTTCCGTTCTACACAACGACACCACGTCACTCACGGCTGGCCAGCTGTGGTACGCATCTGATAGCCGTCTCCCCGCCGCACCCCACGCACCCGTAGGGCTAGCCCTCTCCCCCATCGGCAGCCCGGCCATCACCCTCTGCCGCCGTGCAGCGTCGTACCCATGTCGTACCCGTCAGGTCCCGGGATACTCTGCACTCGCCGTGGCGGTGCGTGACACCGCGCAAGGAAGGACAGCTGAGCAGTACACGATCCAGATCCTCATCCGGGAGCTGCGTACGACAACGGAAGAAATAAACAGAGGGCCCCGAAAAAGGCATATGTCGTACAGCGTGCGTTATGTATGAAGTACACAAAAGGGCATTGGGGAGTGCGTGAGAACGAGAGCGCGCTACTGCTCCTACACAAGTTCTTTTCTGTGTTGCAAAGAAAATACATCCGTAAGTACGAACACGTACATGTACAGGCGTTACGGTGCACAGAGCAACGCTTATTCAGGGTTTTAAGATGCCTAAAACCTGGATCCCCCCCCAGAAAAACCCGAAATATATCTCCACATTTCGCAGGCAGAAGGCCTTCCTACCCTCTCTGCCCTGGACTATGTACGGATGAGAGGGGGTGCCGCACTCACTCACATTCACCAAGCAAGCAACGTCCAGCTCCTCAAGAGCAGGCAGGTACGGAAACGGCCACCGTACACTGGCCGTGGCACCGCCACTCGTGCCGCCGCCGCCGCGGCCACTGGCGGGCTCACAAGCCGCCGGCGCCGCCGGATCCGGAGCTGCTGCCTGCCGAGAGCCGCCGTCGGCGGCGCTGAGTGGTCCATGGGTCACAATATCCCAATTGAGCTGTAGCACTTGCAGTTGGCGGAGGGGCGGCAGTAGCCTCTGTACGAACTGTCGCTCTACCTCCGTTTTCAGAACTAGTTTCAAGTCCTGTGTATTGTCAACAGCCTGATGTACGTACGTGCACACATACATACGTACATACAACACGGGAAAACCCAATGGAACCCTGTCAGTTACGTTCATTGGGTTTTAAGGGTTTTAGGGTTTTGCGGGTTTTAAGATTTTGCAATCAAAACCCTGGGCGCGACCACTGACCGAGCGAGCGGGTTCCGCATCGTCACCACATCGTGGATGGCAATCGTGAACTATGGTAGTGGAACATTTCAAAAAAAACACCCCCACACACATTCCCCCATTTTCCTGCCGCCCGGGTCGCCCTCGGGTCCTCCCTGTTCATTGCTTCTTGTTTAGACTCGCTGCCACATCTTCGGCCGTGCTTTTCCTTCCCCATGCTTCCTTGAGCCCAACCCCCGTGGCCACCCCGCAACCCCGCAAACCAGCCAAGCCCTCCGCCTCATACTCACCTTCAAGGAAATGATAAAATCGTTATTAAACGGTCAGGAAAACCGTTTCCGCTTCCCCCCTAGTCTCCCCCTCCTCCTAGTTCGTTTCCACAACCCCGCCCCCACACACCGCAGCCAGTCCATCACTGCAGCCTTGGCACTGCCCGCCGCCAAGGTCCTCATCCGCGCTACTGCCGCTGCTACTGCCGCTGCTACCGCCGCTGCTACTGCCGCCATCCCCATTCCCATCACTCCCTCCTCCCCCTCCCGCAGCTGCTGCTCCGCGCATCAGCAGTTTCTCCACCATGTACCCGGCCTGTGCGATGGCCACCAGCATGTTGTCCACAGACAGGTGGTAGAGCTCGGGCAGTCCGACCATGTCAATGAGAGAGAGGTACTCCAGGGAAGGGGGAAGCTGGACCGTACGGCATGCCGGGGAGGGACGTGTAAGGAAAGCGGGGGAAAGGGGAAAACGGGGTGGGGGGTCGTAAAGGCAACAGCAGGGCGGGGCCTGTCGGGCTGCGTGTGTGTGTGTTTTGCCCTCCCTCCAAGTCCAGCCAACAGAAGAGGTCGACTGGGAGATCGCCCAGGGCCAAGTTACTTGTGGAATGGATCTCCGTAAAGAACACTCTCGCAGTCATCTCCTCGTGACACCGCTATCACCGCATCATAGCCAACTATCGTCACCAAAACTTCATCATCATATCACCATCATTATCATCATAATCATAATCATCATCAATATTCCATACTTAAAAATATGGGGATGAAACCTAAAGGTTTCATCCCCTTCGTTTTCACATCATCATGAACATTATCATCGCTGTCCAGTCCTTTCCTCCTTCACTCCTCCACCTCACCCCCACCACCAAAAACAAAAACCCGGACTCCGCAGACTCAACCCCCCACCCTCCTCCATCCCCACCAATGCCCCCAACCTACAGCAGTACAAAAAAAACACACGCACACGCACACACGCACCTCCAGGTACCTCACATCCAGGTACTCCACGTTGTCCACCTCCAGGCGAGTGAGGGACGTGGCGGCCACCAGCACCAGCCGGCCATACCCCACCAGCCCCTGGCACAGAACCAGCTCCCTAAGCCGCGGCAGCTCACCCGCCTGTAACACGAAATGAGCCACGCCTGCAGCACACACATCACATATCACATCACATCACATCAGATCACATCACATCCATAAATTCACTGCACCTCCTCCCCCTCCTCCTCCCCCTCCTCCCCCTCCTCCTCCCCCTCCTACACAGCGACCGAGGGACCGCCGTATCAGGGATCGGAAATGGAGCACCAGCGATCGGAGGTCAGATCTCGCATGTGGGCTATCGCCGCCCTCGCCCAGAGCTAACTTCCCTAGGTTGCTTCAACAAAATTTGAATAGCAATACGACGCACATACACATATACAATCACGCAAACAGATATGAAATATGACAGTTTTCAGCCCTAGGCTGGCCGCGGCGCGGCAGGCAAAGCGCGCATGCACGGGGGGTGTACAGATACCGAAAAAGACGAAGACAAAAACACACACATTTATACACACATACATACATGCATGCATACATACATACGCGCACACATACCGTTGTTGTCGGACGTGTCGTCATCCTCTCCATCGCCGTGTTCCTCGTCACACCCGCCGCAAAACATAAGCCGCGTCAGCAGCGAGAGCGCCGGAAACAGGTGATTGATGGACTGCGGAGGTACGACATACAGAGGTACGACACACGTCGCCCTTCGCAACAACAATCTAATCTGCACAACGTAACTCTGGTCGCGGGTCTCATTCCTTTTCATGTTTGTTGTTGTTGTTGTTGTTGTTAGGTGTTGACAACAGATGCGGGTGATGGGCGAGGTTAAGGAAAAAAGGAGGAAGACCCCAAAACGGAATTTTTGGGTCAAGGCACCCAACAGGTAGCCTAAACAGGCATCTAAAGTTTGTTACTACGGGCTCCCTGGGGCTCCGCTCACGTGTGGTACGACGCCGTACAGAGTCAGAGACACAAGCGGAGGCTCCTGTGGCGCGGCTAAAATAGACCTGAGCAGTGCTGGCGGCTGTACGATATCGCTGCCGCCGCTACTGCTACTGCTACTGCCGCTGCCACCTCTACTCCCAGGGGTGTGTATGCTGCCGCTATTGCCGCCGTTACTTGTGTCGATGGCGTCACCGCCGCCGGCAACCCCACGCAGCCATGTACGACGGCTGTGCACGTGACGGCAGCCGTGGTTGCGGTTGCGGTGCCTTGGTGCTGACCCTCCGTGTCGTACAACCCCGTCACTGCTACTGCTGCTACTGCTGCCGTCACCGTCATCGCCGTCGGCATCCTCATTCGCATCCTCGTCCCCCCCTTCGCTGTCCCATCTGCATTCACTAGTTGCTCGTCCAACGTACATGAACACGGTATCCATGCAGGTCAGCGCCGCCAGGCCAGTGTACGGCGGCTGTAGTCTGGGCCCCTCGGCAGGATCGGGCTGCAGCGTGATGTCGGCCAGCTCGGCCAGCGACGTGAGTCGCTCCAAGGGGCGCAAATCCACGGAAGCGAGGCTTGAAAAACCTGACGAACCGAGCACTAGATTTCAACTAAACGTCTAACGATTAACCAACAAACCGAATTGATTTATACACATGAATATCATAAATAATAATTATTATTATAAATAAAACATTTTCACTTAACTGAGGACTTCTCCAGCTAGGCTTAGAGCCCTGGAGTTCTAATAAAAACTTATTATTACGCTTTATGGTCACTTCCAACTAACCAACGAATAAAAAACTGTCATTGCCGTATTTTATTGTAACCAACATTACTGTTCTGATACTCCCCAAGGACCAGCCAACCGGGCAGCCAGTCAGGACATCCGGCCCCAACCCGTGCAGCGCGTGATGGCACGTGAGAGTGAACGCGTGCACCACTCTCGCTTCGCTGCAGCCCCAACCCGCCCACCCATCCCCCCCCAACCCCTCCAAACCCCAAACCCTCCATGCCAATCCCACCAACGATGTCCAAGCTCTCCAGGGAGGTTGGCAGTAGCAGTTGCTCGTCCCACGGGGAACCCCCAACTGTCAACCAATTTGTACGGCGAAGATCCAGGGAACGTAGCACAGTGAGCTGTCGTAGGTCGGGTGGGCGGTCTCTCCAGGTAAAGCAGCTGTAGCGGAGACTTAGAGACTGGACGTGTTACACAAATGTCGTACGCGTTGTACATCGTACATGTAAGGACGTACATACATATGTATGTGTATGCGGAAGGGAGGGAGGTAGAGAGGGCGGGTTGGGTTAGGAAGCACACGCATCTAGATACATCTCCTTGAGTCACTCCTTGATAGGGGGGTTTTAGGGTTTTATTTATTTCTTACCTTCGCTACCTGCCTACCGACCTAGCTGCGCTGACGCCTCATCGCGCTTTTAACCCGCTCCCCTGCCTTTCCCCGCCTCGCCCACCCGGCCTCCTCTTCTCGTACTTGGGGCTCCTAATTAAGCTCTCTTCCCCTCCACCAGCCGCCCGCCAGACCCTGACCTGATTTGGGGGCGCTACGCCACTACGTCAGTCTGTCAGTCAGTCTGTCTGTCTGTACGCACATACGTAGTATGTCTTGTCTGTCTGTCTTTCTGTATGTATGTATGTTGTAATGAACTGAGCCGTCATCACTATAAGAGCGTGCGTATCTGTGCACGGGAAATATGTTTCTTGGATTCAATATTTGCATTACTAATACTTCTTCTCCCCCCCTCCCCAAAAAACCATATCCTCAACCCCCCCCCCTCCACGGCAACCAGCTACAGCCGTACAACGTACCGTCAGCCCGGTAAGACCCTTAAACACGTCCGCTTGCAGGGGTTCAACACCGCACGAAACCAACTCCAGATGCGCCAGACAACACCCACAGCCGCCGTACGGCGCGCAGGGGACGCCGCCGCCGCCGCCAGCCTGCGCGGCCTCGGCGATCTCCTCTGCCGCCGTCGCCGCCGTCGCCGCCGCCGCCGCCGCCGCCCCTACCGCCAGCGCCGCTCCGCCCCTGACCCCTTCCCCGCCGTTTGCACTTGTGTTCAACGCCGTCAACCTCAGCCCTGCCTTGTGCAGGGGCACCCGGGGGGCCGTGTGTGGCTCCTGCCGTAGTCCGAAGCCCTCGAGGCAGAGGTACTCCAGGAAGGGGGCCCCTCCCTGGCTGAGCAAACTGGGGGGAAGGGGGGAGGGGAGATATGTGTGTGCGTGTGTGTGTGTGTGTTTTGTTTTCACGACATTCGGAGCCGCGATGAGGGAAATGTCGAGTATGGTGGTACACGAAGAGGTGGATGCGTGTGTCTCTCTCTGTGTTTTGCGGTGTGATTGC